TTATGATATCTTCAAACATATATTTTATTCAAAAATAAAAACATCATCGCTTTCTCAAAATCACATAAAGTCATATTATAACATCGACTGAGATAAGAAATAAAATGAAATATTAAAATCATGATGTATCTCGCTGCATTGTGCGAGTACGCTTCTAGTAATTGCTAAAATAGAGTTGAGGGGGTGTTTGGGATTGCTTATTTGAAACAACTTATGCTTTTCTACAAAAACACTTATCAACTTATTATAAGTCAGAAGAATTTAACTTCTTTAAAAACTTCTTATTACCAGTTTGATATCGGTATAAGTTGTTTATCCAAACACACAAAGTGCTTATTACCGGTACCACACATAAATAAGTTAATAAATTGTTTTTATAAGCAATCCCAAACACCCCCTTAATGTAAAACTTTTAAAAGATTTTGACTTTTCATACTCCATTAAAAATAAATTAAACTATAAGAAATTCAATTTGATAAAAAAAAACTTAACGTCATACGTACCAAAATATATCGGGTAATATCTAAAACATATCAAGTAATTATATTTTGACTTGACATCTAAAATATTACATATTAAAAAAAATAACAATTTTAGATTCTAAATCTAGTTAGGAAATAAGAAATCATGAATTATCGATTTAATTGAAATAAATAATATGTTTAATTTATTAATTAATATATAACGTATACCCGTCTCCATCCCCTTCCCCGGTTTAAAACAAAGAGGATCCCCGTTCCTATTCCCTCTCTCCGGTTTATCTTCAATCGGGGCGGATGTACCGGGTTCCTGACTCTAATTATTATGGAGGAGGAGGACCTACAGTTTAAGATGAAACAAAATTGGAGAGCCAATTAGGAGGGTTACATACGCCCAATCAAAAACCTAATCCAAGATCAAACAAATATTCGAGAGCCATTTAGTTCTTAATCGGCACCCACAATCCACCCATTCATCCCTTATTCCCTCAGTGGTTTTTCTGGCGTCTTTATTTTCTCTCTCTCCCACCGCCGAACGAAACCGTCGACAAAAGCAAAGCACAATCAACGATTCTTTGGTGAAACGTTGTCGACCCACCGGCGCTAATTTGCCTCATCTTCACCGGTACAATTTCCGATTGATTTCTTTACTTGCTTAACATGGGTATTCCAAATTTTCCTTTGATTCGGTACCACTTAATGTTCAATTAAGCATCTGTATTTGCGTGTTGAGTTGTTGTTTTGAATGGGAAGAGGGGATCTGAGTTCTTGCTATGTGGGTTTGTTTCTTATTGATTCACGAACTAAGAAACAAGATTCACGAAGAAATTGCTTCCTTAATTTCCATCCAGAAGCCAGATTTTAGTGGGTTTTTGAGGTCAAACCTACTGTGTTAGATGACGAATTTCTTACAAAGATTGTTCTTTTTTCCATGGACTGTTCATACAAAGTCATGTGTAGGTTATTTTCTTCTGGGGGTCTGAATGGAACCAATTTGAAATCCAAAGTCAAAGTACAACTCACTTTCTTCAATGGGACATCTGAATCGTTTGAATATGGAATTATTCTGTGTTCAGTACTGCATATCGATGATTTAATCTTTCTACTTACTAAAGGTGATTTAATCTCAGGAACCCAATTCTATCAGCCCAGAATGGTGCTAATTATGGATCTGGTATACAAGTGACAAACTGTGGGGACCTTGCTGATTTGTTGATTGTTATTCTGTGCTTAAGGTCGTGTTTGTTGTAAGTTATACCGGATGCAAGGTCGAAGAGGTATTTTTGATACCTTCCCTGAGACCGTTGATCTAAACCAGGGGCCTAATTCTAATAGTAGAGGTATCAATGAGTCTGATGAATGCAATAACAGTTTGTCTCCCACAGAAAGAAGACTGTTAAGTGATGATCTTTCTGGTGAGTTGAATTTCAGTCGTGCGAATGCGAGTGATCATCACAACTCTCGAAGTTTTAGTAGCTGGGATGTAGGCGAATCAAGCTCTAGAGCCAATCTACATGACCAAGTAGTTAATGATGGTTTAAAGTTGGAACAAAATTGGTCCTCTCCATTTGGCACCCATGATTCAAGATTTAAAGAAAGACAAATTGATCCATCAAATGGCCAACTATGTGATAGTTTTGGTGCTAGCCAGTTGGCCAATGAGTCAATGAGTGTACAGGGTTCTGGTTCTAATCATATTCCTATGGATGTAGATTTGAACCTTGGATATGGGGGTAACAATAGCAATGATGGCGGGCATCGTATGGGATTCATGAATCTTTACAAGTCTGGTAGTTCTGAAATGGAGGCTAGTTCTTCGTCTAACGGTATTGGGACTTCTTCTGAATGTGGGACGGAAGCTTCTTTTGGTAATTGGGGTCTTTCTTGTAAAAGAAAAGCATTAGAAGGTACTTCTGGAGAATTTTTTGGTTCTGGGAGTTCAAGTTACTTTCCAGAAACTGAAAATATTGTTTGGCACACACGTCCTAACGGTAATAGTGGTTCTAGCAGCCTAAGTGCATCTTCATCGATGCTCAATTCTCAAGAACACATAAACTCAATAACTGGAGTTGGCGTGAGAGATTCCAGTTCTTTTACCATATCGCAAGCTGGAAATCCCGGAAGGTTTTCTAACGGTGGCTCATCTCACCAGTCCTCTAGACGATTCTTGCACAATGAATTTCTTGATCAGACATCCAAAAGGCCGATTTCAATGTCTGCCAATCCAAATCATCCTTTAAACCTACAACCGCCTAGAAATGTACTTCCTTTTCCATGGGGTGATAATGTGAATTCAAGAAATGGCAGTTCATCAAGTTCAGAACTTCCTCCAGAGAGTGGTTCCAGAAACAACGAGCAGCATCGGAATTTGGTGCAAGATTCCGCTAATTGGAGCTTAGCCAGTGGGAGGGCAAGCACTAGTGGAGCTAATGCTGCATCTGGTTCTCATCCTTCTAATGCTGTCTGGATGCCTCATTTCAACTCCACAACACAAGGTCAGCAGAGATTACCCGAGTTTTCTCCATGGACTCTTTTCCCATCTTCCGAGGCCGAATCTGTAGGTCACCGAGGTCGTTTTTCTCCATTCCCCATGGGCTCTTCTTCCAACTCAGAGGAGAATGTGCTCTCATCTGGTGTTAATAGCCAGGGACGTCATCATCGACCTTTCTTAAGGCCAGCGCCATTAATGGAGGTGCCAAATGATGAGTGGCAGGCTTTTACTGCTGATATCGAGGGAAGACACAGGCTGGTATCTGAGGTTCGTGCTCTTACTACATAATTACACAAATTTCAATTCTATTATATGTGATTTTTATGTGTCTCGCCTTTTGATTTAATGAAACATATTGTTATCAACATGGCGGACACAGATTTTATGGATGTATTCGGAAGTCATGAGGTAGCAATGTTGCATGTGTAGTATCTGTTGGTGTATTATTACGTACGCATGACAATCTTTTGGTGGGTATGAAGAAGATTCATGTTTGCAACAAATAAAAACTCGCGTATATTTCTATGCATAACTACAATGAGTATGTGTGAGTAAGAAAATAAAGATGATTAAGAGCGGTGAGATTTAGCAAACAAAACCTCAGAATTATGATCATTTAGACAGTAGGTGTGTAAATATACTGATTCTATACCGGTTATGGATATAGATACGTTCAACTGTAATACTATATATATATATATATATATATATATAGATAGATAGATACACACAAGACAGTGTGACACATCCTCTCCCTTTTAACGGCCTTCTTTCACCGGCATCTCAACATCGACAGCCCCCTCTCACCAACCTCCATCTCCCCCTTTCTCTTCCTCCTTTCACTCTCCATCAATACCCAAATCGACCTGTATCTTTTGATGGAGATTGGAGAGTGAAAGGGGGAGATGGAGGGTGGTGAAAGGAGGCCATTGATGTTTGGATGCCGTGAAAGGGAGAGGATCTGTCACACGGTCCGTGTGTGTATCTACATATATAGTAATGCTTCAAAATTTTAACCGTCCTCGTGAATTGACTCATATGACTTGCATCAAAAGCAAAGTTTACGTTCATGTATAGATGGGTTTACCTACAAGTCTCTAGTCATGCTTTTATCCTTCCATAGCTTCAAAAGTGTATTTAGGTTTGCATTCTGACATTCTAGTTTCTTTAAGTAGACGTAACGCGTACTTTTGTCGTGATACTGAAACCTAAGCTTTGATCTGCATGCTCAAGAATTGTTCGAGATCCCCAAATCCCTGATTCCAAATTCCCGGGCTAGAAAATTCTTTAATCCAAGATTCTTCTCTTGATAATCTTTGGTAAGAATCATGTCGTTCACATAAACGATGAGTACTTCCTTATTTCTAGTGGAAGACTGCATATATGATGAAACTAATAACCAAACTTCATAGCCGCTCTCGTGTGCCGTTGGTGATTGCTTGAGTCTATATAGTGATATCGTTAGCTTACGCACTTCGTTGGGGAGTTATTCTAGCTTCCAACCCTGAAGGTCTTGCCATGTATACCTCTTCTTCTAGATCTCTTTTCAAGAAGTCAAATTCTATGTCTAGTTGGAATAATATATATATATATATATATATATATATATATATATATGGCAAATGAACCCACACACCCTCCTTACCTTTAGTTAAGTTTGAACCCGTCACCTTATCGATTTCCATTTTACAGATGCGTCAGATTTTGAATGCGTTGCAAAGAGGTGAAAACTTACGAGCTGAGGTCTGCTGTTTTCTTCTCTGATTGCTTATCATTTGCATTTCTATGCTAATTTCAATCATCCTCAGATACGATTAAACATAGATTCTTGAAATCTTTTCCAAATTTCCCCGTGAAATCTTGAAACAACTCTCTGTCGTCAGGATTACGTGCTGTTTGATCCATTTATAAACGGGGTTGCTGAGCTGCATGATAGACACCGAGATATGAGGCTAGATGTCGACAACATGTCTTATGAGGTAAGAAATTTCAAGTCTTGTTTTATCTATTCTCTCTTAAATATGGTTTTTACTTTTCCAAACTATGAATTGTTATCAGGAATTATTAGCGCTGGAAGAACGCATCGGAGACGTGAAAACCGGGCTGAAGGAGGAAGTAATCCTGAAGTCGATGAAACAGAGAAAACACGTCTCGACTTCAAATTTGGAGCCGTGCTGCATATGCCGGGTGAGATTCATCTTTAACTTGTCTTAATTTAGCAAAGAACCCGTGTCGTTTTTACAGTTCTTTTAGGTTCTTATTTTGTTGAGGTGACGGAAATTGTATTGCAGGAAGAGTATGAAAGGGGAGATGATATTGGGAGCTTGGAATGTGGACATGATTTCCACACAATTTGCATTAAGGAGTGGCTGGCAAACAAAAATGTATGCCCCATTTGCAAGACCACTGCTCTTTCTATATAATTTAGTAATTAGTAATCAATGGTGGTATGTTTTATGTTATTATAAGCACAGATTTAATGGTCATATGACTCTATTTATTTATTTATGGATAAATTTATTTCAAACACTTGTTATTTTCTTCCTTTTGTCCTTCCACAATATGATATCCACTGCCCCTTTGATGACATTCACATGTAAATATACGAAGAGTATTCACATGTGAATGTATTGTAAAACAAAATAGAAGTGAATGAATGGAAGAGTGGGATTTCATGTCTGTAAAACAATTTTAATCAACATTCCCATCTGCATGAATCGTAAGATGATCAAAATTTCCCTTTTTTTGATAAACCATGTCATCCAAATATATATGTTCACAGCTATTGAACATATATACGATCGGATTGGTCGGGTTTTTGAGCACCTTTAATTGCAACCACTTTGAATACTGAATTATTTTTATGAGGAGTTTTGTTTTATTAAAAATATTTGATTTACGGTTGAATAAAAATAAAAATATTATATTATACCTAAAAGTAGCATTTTTTTAAACCTAACTGGCTATTAGAGCATCTTTAACAGATTTTTTAAAATTCTGCATATAAAAAATTACAATATTGATTTTATTATTAAACTATTACTTTCATTTGATAACAATAATATTCCTCTAAAAATTTAATTCTAAAGTTTTCTATTGGTGGAAATATGTTAAAAAAATATTTCTCTCTCATTGTAATCATTTTTGGGAAATTCTTTAAATTTGGAGAATTTTACGCTCTTTTTTCTACTTTCTTCATTTTACCAAAAAAGTTTTGAAGAATCTATTGGAGCAAAAAACATGTTCAAAATTTGCGAAATTTCTATTTTGTCTATTATAAAAAATCCGTCGTAGATGCTCTTAAAAGATAATATATTTTTCATACTTCTCTGTTTGAATTCGTTATTAACATCGGTGACAACGTCATTCTTGATTTTCTCCAGTTTCGTATAATCGTATCATGTGGGCTGCAAATGCACCGTTGCAGTTAGCTAGTTATCAGTTAACTTAACTAGCATATATGGTAAGACCTTCCATCTTTGTCTCCCTTGAACTAGGTTGGATTATAGTGAATCCGCAGATTAAATAGAGTTTAACGATAAAGATTTAGAAAGAGAGAGAGAGGGAGAGGAGTTACGGTGACGATGCATGCTTTTAGGAAACTTAAATAGTTAAAAGATATTGATATTTTCTATTTTAAATTCTACCCCGCCTATAAAATTACCTGCTATCGTTTGTTTTCAATTTCACATTAAATACAATTAAATTTTACATTATATTACATCGTACGTATACAATTCTAGATTTAGAAAAAGTATTAAGAAAATATGCTGATCTTTTGTTTCAATTCTTTCCAAAATACCCTTTCCTAAAACCCCATGACTTCTAGTTCCCACGAACTTGAAACCCAAAATTCAATTACTACGATACATCTTATTGATTGTAACAGATGATCTTGATCATGCATTTCCGTAGTTGCAAGATTAGCTGATCTTCCGTACTACAAAGAGTTGGTACAGAGGTTTGAGTTCCAAAATGTAGTAACAGCTGTGGAATGTGAAAAACATAAGGTTGACAAATGTAGTGAGTTGAAGAAAGCTGAGAATGTTGAATACGACAACAATAAGATCGTTGAAGAGTAATTATCAACGTCTTTATCATTTGTATATGGCTTGATATTATTACACATCTTCTTGATTAATTGTGTTCAGTTGACAAAACTGTTTAAATTTATGCATTAAGATTACGCGCCTTCTTTGAATATAATAGTCGATGGGTTCAACATATACTTCCAAGTTGCTCGATTGATTTCAGTTTATCAGGTTCGCTAAGTACTTGTTTAGAATAGTGTAAAATCTATCTTGAAGACGAGAAGAAATATCGTTTAACATTTTCTTGTTAAAATATAAATTTGATAAATGACCTGGTTTTTGAGTTTGAATATACATATACAGAGATAAAACTGATCTTGTTAAAAAAATATTTTTATATCAGTTCCCACGGATTTGTAAGATAAACATTTTCTTGTTAAAATATAAACCGCCTAAATATCATACATTGTACAAACCAATCTCTCGATTATTGATTTCGTCTATTTTGAAAATTTTAGGTGGTTACCAAATCAGTTGCAGATATGGTTTTGAGTAAATTTCGAAACCGATTTTGTGACAATCCTGCTTTTGGGATTTCAGGTCAGTACCTTAATTCAGGACCTTTATTGAAAACTAAGTCTTTCTAGGATTTAGCCCCGATGATCAGAGATCATCTTGCTTATCTCCCAAGATTAGTTTGTTAGATCATGTTTCGGCGGGTAACTAACCAAATTAGTTTATGCAATGCCAAATAGTCTTGAAATGTTTCATAAAAATAAAGTTGATATTTAAGTCCAATCTTTTTATTTTAAGCTGCCAATTAATTTTAAAAAGTGGAGTTTTAAAAATCTTTTGTCAAATTGTTTTGTTTATTTAAAATTATTGGGGTCTAGTATTTAGAAAATAAAAGCATTTTGGGCTTGGGTCTTTAGAGGCCAGCCCGTTCCCTCTCAAAAACCCCATATAAATACCCCTTTCCTTTTGAAAATTCTTCATTCTCCAAAACTCCAGCTGTTCCGTTTTCTCTCTCCCTCTCTAACTTCATCACCTTCTAACCGATTCTAAACCTCCTTGCAAAACTCAAGACTCTTGTTGTCCGTGAGACTTGTTCGTGTCATCCTGTCAAGAAAAAGGTATGTCTTAAAAGCTGTTCTATTTTCTTTTAGATATCCGAAAGTCTTTATCCTTCTCCCTACTTGATTCTTTAAGTAAAAATTTTGGGATTTGAAGAGGAGAGATTATTCATCCAAGACCTGTATGTGTCTTCGTTGGGATAATAATCTATGACTCATGTTCTTTAATCTCTAAGAAAGAAGAAGAGAATCCTTGCATGTGAAGGTCCGATCATAATCTCGGATGATAGAATCTTGCATGCATCTTTAAATCAGTTTTCTCATCTTGTAAACTCGCTGGAATCGAAATTTTATTTGTTTTATTTTTCTGGAATTTCTTTGATGATGTTTTGTGTTAGAGTTTTGATTCTTGAAAATGTTGAGCTTGAGACCCCTCCCCATCATTGCTACCATTATTGGGCATGCAACCGGTTTTGGGAGGCGTGTGACTCAAGGTTGTAGAATTTTTGAAAAGAGTGTTAAACCCACTCAAAATTTCTTGATTTTGATATTTGACGGCTGTCATCATTATTTTGGCATGACATTTAATGATGTCATTATTAGGATTTTGGGAGGTTCCTTTTTATTTAATAATAAAATATCGGCCTTATTTTATGAAAACGCTTGATGGCTTTGCAATGGGGATAACTTTGTTCTACCTTAGGCAAGAAACCGTTGAGTAATGTAGCGCTGGTTGGTCTATGAGGAAGTTCGAGCAAGTTTAGGAAGCCTCTAAAAGAAGCATTCAGATATTCGTCAAACTTGTGAGTTCTCACGGCCCCACTTTTACTGTTTTTTATATTTTATGGGGGAAAAACATGAGATTGAGCAAACTTTGCATGTTTATGTTATATAAAAATTTGGGACTAAAGAACTGTTTAGTCGATGCTTGCTCAAAACTTTTGGACTAAAGAACTGCTTAGTCAGACTCTGTTGAAACCTCTGGACTAAGGAACTGCTTAGTCGGGTTATTATGTTTTGTTTTGATAACTATTGTTGCACTTAGAATAAATGCTAAATTGATGTGCTTGGGAGTATATGTTTCCAAATAAAAGTCCCCRTCCGTAAACGCTACTTGTTAACTCGGGTACATCCCCGAGCCGTGGTATTGTGGATAGCCGCTATTGTGTTGACAGTCCCACCCAGAAAGGGGTGCACAATTACCTACGTTTTTCTAGTCTAATCATGTGGAATTTGGACCACCGCTGAATTAGTACTCTATCGAACTGTGGGATCTAAATAGTGAACGGGCTACTTCTGGTTGTTCGAAAGTTAATGGGGCAAATTGGTCAGGTAAGGTTCAGTAGCGTCTCAAGTTTTTACATCGTGAGAGATTTACATTTATTAAGTGCAAAGAATTCGCATAAGTTTGCTACTACTTGGTTTATGCATTGAAACGTTTTATGCATACGAAAACCCGTGAACTCACCAACTTTTTGTAGTTGATCTTGTTTTGTTTCCATACTTTTCAGGTTCTAAGTAAAGTTATTTGGATTTTTTTTGGAAGCATACTTGAGCATGGATCGATTAAGTCAAAAATTTGAAGTATTTTGTGAACGTCTTGTAAAGTTCTATTTTCTGTTATGTCGATGAATTGTTTTGTTTTTTAACAATTTGGATCAGTGTTATTTATAAACCGTCGCTATGACTCGCTTGTCTGTTACATCTCGTGTTTCCGCTTTAGTGGGGTGTGACAGATTTAATCCACATTGTTTACATCGATTTGATAATCTGCAGGGACGATTAAGATTGATCTGTATGGTGTGTAAATTTAAGCGGTTTGTATTTGATTTGACCTCTCTCTCTCTCTCTCTCTCTCTATATATATATATATATATATATATATATAGTAATAAATGGAAAAAAGTAATTTAGTAATATCCACATCCAGACAATTCATTATGCTTTCAATTATGCCACATCAACTTTTGCAATTATCATCTATACACGTACAATTTACTTTCACCTTCAAGAGTGGTCCCAATTGCAACATTTATTAACAACTTTATAAATTATTATATACATTTTAATTACTTTTTAATTAATATATGTTGTAATAAATAATACAATCATTTTATTTATTTTATAGTTCATTATTTTAATCTAATATATACTTTATTAAATTATATCAAAACACAAAATTTATTAAATTAAAAAAATTACATATAAATAAAAATGAAACATTACATTAATCATTGTTTTCTTCAACCAAATTTACTTGCAGTTGAGTTGATGTAATTTTGTTTGTACTACTTTATTAGTCGTGTCTATTAAATTATATTATATGTAATTTTATAGATTATATTATATGTAATTTAATTACATTATATATTTTAATATGTATAATTTTAATTTAGATAATTATAAAATTTAATGTTTAATTATATTGGAGTTGATTGAAATGCTATTTTTATCTTATTAAAAATAAAATCGTAATAATTTTATTCAAAATAAAAGATATACACATAAATCCCATAGTTTATGTGACAAATCAACTTTTGGTTGCTTATTGGTCGGTAAGCATTTACAAGATCACTTGTCTTACACGATGAACATGTTAAGGGTCGAGAATTTTACATAGTAAAAGAGATGATAAAGATGCACATTCTTACCAGGTAAAAAGTGAGGGTGAAAACTCTTACCCAGTAAACTGTTTCTCGATAAAATAAGTTAGAGTGCTAACTCTTACCAACTGGTAAATATTTACCAGATAAACGACTTCTTACTCAGATTGATTTTGCTTTCTTAAAAAAAATCTGGAAAAAAACCTTTTTATTTTAAAAGTAAACTTTATCTAAAATAACGTGATTATAAATACATAGTTTGTGTGAGTTACTCACGTTTTTTAGGCGATGTAATATTATAACTTATAAAGAATGCTCGTAATTTTATTCATGGTTAATATGTGATTCTAAGTTGTTACAAATACTTTCGGGGATTCATCATGCATCATGAGGTTTGTACTCCATCCCGATAAAATAAGATTCCGCTCTAATTATACCATTCTGTAACGCCACAAACCGAAGCAAACATAATAACTTGATCAATGATCTTTAAATTAACTTAAAATCAATTAATAACGTTCTTTAGTGTTTGCTGTTGATTTGTAAGTTATAGAGTTAATCAGTTGATTTTGGTCTGAGACGTTACAAACAAGAGCAAATTGAAGAGGCGCCGATTGGGTATATGTTACAACCACAAATTTTTCCGGATATAGTGTGAAGTTGTTACCATTTTATTTGGTTGTCAGATATGGTAAAACTACAGATATTTTTCGAATCCACCTGTAATTTAAAATTTTATTTTTTTTATCCATGTAAGACAAACTCTCACAACTTTCATCACATCTAAAATTTCACTTTTCATTGATATAAGATGGATGTCATATGAACCTTGCTACAACTAATTAAAAATTGATCTTGTTTAAAAGATACTAGAAGAGTACCCGTACAATACATCGAGACATATTTCGATTTTAATGTTCTATTTTATTATTTGTCTCTGTCGATGTTATAATATGATTTTATGTGTTTTTAAGAAAGCAATAATGATTTTTATTTTTGAATAAAATATAAATTTAAAAAAATATATCAATGTTAATATCAAATCAACTATTTAAAAGTTCTATTTTTTATGTAATTTCTTTGTATAATTTATTTTTTATTATAATTTAATTTAAGTT